ACCCCACGCCCCCAGAAACATGCCCCCCCCCCCCCAGTTTGCCAGCTAGGATTCAATTAATATCAGGCAATTTAAACTGAATTAAAAGCTCTGGCGCAAGGCTCTGTCCTGGTTTAACTTGGCCAGCATCACACCACACCCTCATTTCGATTAACACAAGTCTGAACACAGACATGGCCCTTAATGCAGCGGTAAGAGCTAGGCAAAGGTTAAATAATGAAAATAGCATGAATAAATAAAAAGAAGGGATCCCAGCAGGGTAAGGACCTGCTGACTTGGCAGGCGCGTGCGTGCATGGCTTCCAGTTTCTTTCAGACGCAGGCACCCTGGAAGGGAGAACAACCTTCCAATGGCGCTGGGCGAAGGGAGGGGGGACACTGGGGTTTACTGCGTTACAAATACCGAGATGGACCAGGGATCACTCGATCGGACATGTCAGAATGAGCAATTTATAATCAGCCCCTCACTGGAATGTCAGCAGTGCTCATGCATTACAGCTTCAGCTTGGCCAGGGGGAAGACTTTTGGAGCGTCAGGGTACAGATGGGACTACAAGCAGCACAAAACCTTTCTGCTGTTTCGTGGGTGGTGGGTGTTCCCACTGCACATTTCAAGCAGCACACTGGCAACCCATTCTCACAGCTGCAGGGTCCAGTGGCGTTTCCACTAGCCGAGGTACATGGTAGCTTATCCTGCCTTGCTCTAGGGAGCCCAGCTTATCCCGTCAGTACTTTCTCATTACCTACCATGAGATAAAGAATTGGCTCATTTTATGGCTGGTCCCACTTCACCCACAAAGCTGAGCAGCAACCTCTGCCATTGCCATGGGGTCTGCTCTTCTGGCAGCCACACAGGGTTTGACCAGATCCGTTCCTCTAAAAGCAGGAGTAGATCCCCCAGAGTTTGTCTTTTGGACAGAACTTGTGAAGGAGAAACAAAAACTAGGGTGGCCTTGGCTGCATCCCTGGTTCCTCCTGCTGTTTCACGGCTGGGGCCTGGGAGGAAGCTCTGAACTCCACGGGCCAAACTTGGCGCCACTTACCCACTGGAGTAACCTGGATTTCAGCCCATTAAGGACACGGCCCTGGGGCAGTAAGCGAAAGGGAGCCAGAAATATTACATTAATATGCAGAAACATTCCCAGCTATGATCATCAGCCATGGGACTAAAGTGATCAGATAGCGTAAAGTAAACAGACCAGGGCTGGGTTTATTAGAGCACGTTCTCTTTTCTAGTTATCTTATGCTAATGCACAGAGAGATCTGGGAGATAGGAACAGTCTGAAGACTGTAAAAGGAAACCAGCAGACAGCTATTAACAGAGGAAAAATTCACAGGTACCCAAGCTTGGGCACAGGGACGGGTTTTATTACACTCAGAGGGGATGGCAGAACACCAAGTTTCTATTCTAACATGTGTATGAATTTGTATCTGCATGTATGTGTGTGTGCATGGACTGTAGTATCAACCACAAGAGAGCCAAAAAAGGGAGAATTTAATATACTAGCTACAAAATGCACTTCAAAGTAATTTCTAACAGTGTCTCAGTGCTGAGGAGTATTACTGTGACACAAAGCAGGCTGAAAGCCGTAAGGCTGAGCCCAAAACATGCTGGGATCCTCCATACAGTCTGTGTGTACGCGTGCGTGTGTGTGGCTGTGCAATGGTGCTAGCGGTGTGCGCCACTGTGCAGCACGCACACAAGCCGTGTGCTTCGCCTGGAGAGCTGGATCTCCACAAAATATATCCCCCTGACAGGCGTGCAGTTTTGTTAAGATCAGTGAGAAAACTCTGTATCTGCTCTCACCTCAGGGTGAAACAGACGGAGCAAAATAGCACAACTGTTTCCAACACGAGGAATAAAAAATGGATGTAAGGAATCTGGGGCAGCTCTGCTGATGATACAACAAGCCCTGCAGCAGAGATAGTCAGCCTCCAGAGGGGAAATCCCAGGTGCCAGGGATGACTCCAAAGTATTCCCCAGGGATTACACATAATTTAGCCTAAGCTCAATTAAGAAAAACCTTTGCGAGGCAGCTCTGCTGCCTGCCAGGGATGGCTGTCACGGCAGCCCCATGGCACACACCAAGCACGTTCAAAGGTCCCCTCGCAGGAAATCCCACTGAAGACACTGATTAATTTCTTTCTTCAGGCCAACGACGAGTATTTTAAAGCCGTACCTTTGAATTCTGACAACCTTGTAATAAGGTGAGCGGGGTCCGACCCAGGAGAAGCAAAAAAGAGGCGCTGAGTGCCCAGCCCACAGGCAGATGCCCCCTGAGCTTTTCAAAAGTGAATAAAAAGACTTGAAGACTTTGGTTTGGCTTTCCTTCAACTCATGCACTAGAGCAGAGGTGAATATCTTGGATGCCAATACAAAGCGTCCCCTGAGGTTTTATTATACTTTGTCTTCCCTTCTTTTTTTTTTTCCCCCCTTGCAGTTCTGCTCTCAGAGCAGTGCCTGGATCTCTCTCACATCTTCTCTCACATAATTTAAAATTCTCATCTGAAAAAGGAGGAAAAAAATCTGTGAACTGAGTCTGTCTGCCTCTTACCAAGCACTCAGCCATCGCTGTAAATTCTTCTCCATCCTTATGCTGCCAGTGGAGCAGCATTCACAATTATCTCACTTTTCTCTACGTGGGCAATACCCTGGTAAGGATAACAGCTGGTATAGAGCTTAAAATTGTCACATAACAAGATAATGACACCACAGGCATGAAAAATGACTCGGGATGCTTACAGTCGTGAGCACATGGCCACAGGGATCCATATGTTTGTTAATGGCCTCTGACAGACCATAAAGGCAAAGGCCACATCAGTCCCTGCTAAACTGTAGGCAGGGCTGCTCTGCTAGAAAAGGATGTGCTGAAATATCACAAAGTTGGGGTGTGCCTGGAAGGGATGAGCAAGAGGGGAGAGGTGGAAATAGGTTTCAGAAAGGCATCCTGGGATGTGTCATCTTCAGCCCAGGTCAGAGCTGTGAGACGTGTCTGAGCCACAGGGCAGAGAGCAGCAAGAAAAACCCATCGTGCTCACCTGACTGCTCTCATCTGCCCACGCTGCTGCTTGGGGACCCCAAATCAGAGGCGGGAAGGGCAGCACGCATATGGATAAATCATCTGATAGCGTGTTTTCTAATCACTAACCCTGTCTTTTCTGCTTCTGCTGCAGTTGCCTGTCCTGCGAAGCGACATGAGTCTCAAGGGATCCCTCAGCAGCAACCCCGGCTCATCAAAGTAAGGATCTCCGTGGTGGGCTTCCTCCATCTCATGGCTGGCACCACCACTCCTTCCTACCCCCTACCCAGGGGGATGCTCCTAGCGGTCCCACTTGCCCCCCAAGTCCCTGGTGTTTGTTTCACCCTTCCTGGGCACCTCACAAGCTGTGGCCATAGCCAGCATCACTGCCTCACAGCTCACGTGCCCTGCGTGCTGTGGCTTGGTAATGCCACATTAGGTGTAGAGAGAGGAGAGGGACACCAGCAGCCTTTCCACCTGCGGCTTGGGGACTACGGCAGCCCACGGCAGCTTCCTGATGGAGCCAGAGCCACCAGCTCTCTCCCTCCTTCCTGCACGCTCCTGGTCTCTGGAGAGCAGGGTGTAGGTGTATGAGCACTGTGAACCACTGCCTGCCCTCAGGGGGACATGGTGGCAGAGCAGAAAGTAGCCACTGGCCACCCACTGGCTCACTGCACCGTGCAGGACAGCCCGACCACAGCACCTGAAACCCTGAGGTCCCGCTTTGATCCTCCCCTGCCAGGCCTGAGCTGGAGAAAACACTGTTATCTCCTGGCTGCGTGCTCCTACGCACAACCCAGGCGTGGGAGGGTGGCCCTACAGGGGATGTAACCCATGCTTAGAGACCTGACACCCCAAAACTCAAGTGTTTACACACAATTACGTCCTTCCACATTTTTACATGGGCTATGTTCTATATCTGAGCACCTGCCTTCAAGGAGTACATCTCAAAGGGGTCCCATTAATAAGGGATCTTAATCCTGGCACTTACACTGCCTCAGGTTCAGGTGGACTCCGGGTATCACATGGAGGGGTCTCCGTTTACCTGCGCTGTTCCCAGTGACAAACCCACTTACCGCACACTGGGAGCTGCTGTCCAGCCCCTCCAGAAGCAATGTCCTTCCAGGGGACACTGCGTGTGAAGGTAACTCTAGTGGGGACAGGCCTAGATGGGCTCCTCTGCCTCCTGTTTCCAGCTGCTGGGTTTAGTGACACGTGCCTGCAGTGTGGATAACAGCTAGGGTTGCAGAGGGAGCTGCCAGTACGGTCAGACAAGCAAATGCTTTGCCTGGTAATTCGAAGTCGTACCACATCTGATGGACGTGATGAGGGCAGGGCTGGTCCCTCTCGGGACAGCTGCAGAGCTGCTGTGCTGATTACTGTGTGAGCTGCAGTGTGAAAGCAGATGTTAAAAAGATCCGGAAGCTGATGGTTTATTTGTACCTTCTTTCTTTTACAGTGGCAGCATGGGCAGAGCGGATGGAGCCTCCAAACTGAGCGCAAAGGACCTGTACGGTAAGTCGTGCCCACAAGCACATCTAAGGTTTCCTACAGCAAAAGCACCTCTGGAGATCTGAACACGGCTGTTGGGGAGTTTTAGGCTGGGACTCAGTCAAAGCCACGTGAATCCAGACCTCCATACGCAACAGGCTGGCCTGACATGGCGGCAAAAATGCACCTTACCTCTGCGCCACTGCCTCCCATGCTGGGGACAGCTGTGATTTTGTGAGAACAGACAAGCTATGCAGAACATCGCTTCCCCTCACCCCCACCCGTCACCCAGATCCTCTCCAGTTATGTTAGCAAGCTAACCTGATAAAGGGCCTAACAAAAGAAAGACTGTCCTCAGCAGGTTAATGATTATCCTCTTTAACTACTCAGTGAACCGTGAAAACTCCAGTGCCCTTTGGCTCTTTGGAAGTAGAGGGAATTGGTAGCATGGGTGCTTGTGCAGAGCCTGATATGCAGCTTGTTTATAAACCACCCCAGCTCCAGAGGAGCCAGTGAGTCACTAGGTGAAGAGCTGTAGAAAACAGGTATCAATAACAGTTATTCCTGATCTTAGCAGCTCTCTTAACATATCCCAGGTGAAGACTTGGCCTGTGGGGTAGGCAGAACAAGTAGAAAGTCGTGTGAGAAGTCACCTCCCTCAGTCACTCCCTGGATAAGAAGATGGGGGTTGTCTAGGGGACCACTAGCAGCTTTGGGGGAGTCTGAGCCTGCAAACTCTCCCACCTAAGAGCTGTCGATTTGCCCGGTTGATGCTTTCATTGGGTACAAACAGCCCCTTGTTGGAGAGCTTACATTTGATCAGAAATCTCCCTTTGCAGCTACAAAGTGAGGGTGGTTTATTTGTCCCTGGGAAGTGACTTTGGTTGCTGAACGGTTTTGGCTGGAGGTTTATTGGTGTGGAGTGGCCTGGAGCAGTACCCCGCAAGTGACCTATCTTGCCTGGGGAAAAGTAGTCGCAGGTGGGAAGGCAGGGGCTGTACTTAGTGGATGAAGTGTTAAACAGTCATTGTTAACTTCGATTGGCTGCAAAGAAGTGAAATATGGGAATTTGGTGTTACTAGCCAGGGCTATTTGTGGCCTGGATGCTGCATGATGAACAGGTGCCAAGTGGGGGTCTGAACTGTGTCAGTCACTTGTCAGGAGATGAAAGGACACAAGATAAACCTAGAAAGAAGCAAGAGGATGCGGCGTGGAAATGTTTGGGTGCTGCTCCACTTTGCACACAGGACTGCTAGTTCAGACGAGCTCCTCCTACCTCTAATGGCATCATTTCTTTTGCTGTGCACTGAAAGCTCCTGCAGATCTGATCGGGGCAGAAAGATTATAGTTGCAAGGTAAATAGACAGACGTACAGAGACGTGTAAAAATGAAACCAAGAGCTGACAACTGTGTTGGAAACATGGCACCTGCGCAGTTAGCACCCACAGGCGGAGGCAGCCCAGGGCTCTGAATTGTCAGGGTTTCTGGGTGGGATCTAATTGCAAGCGCAAGGCTGACTTGGTGCTTCGGCACGGTGAGCAGGGACCACCCCGCAATGCCTCCACCACAAAAGCTAGCAAAGGGAAAGGCTGACAAACTGCCCTTAAAACAAACACAGTTTCTCAAATAAGTAATTTTCAACACCGAGTTACATCTTTTACATTTTTTTGCATGGACACACCCCAAAAGCAAATTTCACCAGGGATGGGACCTCTATGACCAAATTCCAGCAAACCTTAAATGAGGACCATAAGTCCATGGGCTAAATCCTCAAGAGGAGTAAATCAGCTGCCCGTTATTTCCCTGCCACCTCTGAAGCACAGTATGAAGTCCACGGTAATTTACTGCATAAATCAGTGCCTGTTGGCTGGCTCAGCCCAGCACTGCACGAATACATCCACAGGGTTTTTGCTTGGCAGAACTTGAAACCCGCCCCGCTAATTCAGCATGCCTTTACCAAAGGACACTCAGCATGTGTTAAACCAATATTTAAATGCCTGGGTCCCCTTCGCGCTCGGATCCTCCCTCCCCCAACATTAATTTCTGCTGTGAGCTGGCACATTTGCGAGTGGAGGGTAGGCAAGAACTAAAATTCCAGGGAGAATTATGTTTCATAATGAAACAAATCACATCAAGCCGAGCTGGCCTTGATTATGTGATTACGATGCTGCTAAGGGACGTTCAGAGCTTACAAGACTTTTCATATTTCCATTTTTCTCCAGTGTAATCAGGCTGGACCCTCAGCCTGTGTACGCTGCCAGGCCTCCAAAGAAACGAGTGCAACAACTCCCAAATTCACAGCACACAGACATCTGCTGCATTTAAAGCTTGCTGAGTAATGTACACAGATGCTCCAATGCACACAGATGTCTAAATATTATTCCTAGGTGAACGAGGCCTTGGTTTTAGCTTTCTTAAGGTTTTTTTTTTTCTACAATAGAGTGCCTCTCACCACAAAGCAGATATGGGAGGAAGGAGGGCACGTACTGAACCATTAGCTCAGGTACTTGGGCTCTAAATGCTAACCCAGCCTGAGCCTTCATTACTGGCCTAACATGACAGGAGTGCCAACTGCAAGGACGCAACTGCTATCTGAGGGCCAAGATGTTCCCAGTATCAACAGGGACTTAGTGGCAGTATTAAAGCCACCTCAGGTGAGACCCTGGAGAGTGATATTTAAAAGCATCATGGTGAGGCTGAAGCAGAGCAGCAGCTCCAGGCTGTGCACAAAGCCAACTGGATGACAGAGGTGGGGGATCTGCTTTGGGGGGTTCAAGGACATAGTGTGAAACTGACAGGGCCACGTAGGTCCACACAGGACACAGCCTCACGGCTGGTGATGGGTGGGGAAGGTGGCTGCTCTGGTGTCACTCTTGGCCTGCTGTAATTGCCTTGATCATCAAGTAGGCAGCACGCCACCGTGTCTTCTTCACTGTGGTGAGCACAGAGGGATGCAGAGAGATAATCAGAGTCACCAGGGAATTCTGCAAAGAAATTGGCTTAAAGCCCTGAGATATCTTCCCCCGGCTCTATCCCTACCAGAGCTGATCAGAGTTGGATACACTTTCTAGGTGCTCAGATGTCCTCGGTGGAGTTCCCTGGCTGTCATGGAGGCAGGATACTCATCCTTTCCTCCCCCCTTAGCAAAATGGCATGACATTCACTCAGATCCACATTCTGGAAGAGTCTGTGGCTGCCTGCGCAGAGCAAGCCCCGGCCCCGCTGGCAGCAGGGGGAATGGCTGGCACCTATCAAGTTGCCACCTTACTCAATGCACAGCAACCAGCTGAATAAATGTTAATGCATACCATAAATAAATTAAGGTGCTTCTCTGCTTACTGGCATCTGTTCTGAACCTAGATGAAAGCCGGGGGGGGGGGGGGGAGAGAGAGTGAGGGGGGGGGGGGGGGGGGGGGGGAACGAGTGTGGCTCTGGCAGAAGCCAAGGGAAGGGCTGGAAGGAAGTGTTTCTGCATAGTGCTTCTCCACAGCAGGCTTCTGCCACCCCTTTCTGTGGTGACATCCAGGTGGACTTCTGCAGGCGTTCATCTAAGCTGCTTTCATGGTTGATCAGGCAGCGTTGTCTCTCGTGATGGATTAGGCTGTGTAACCATGAGAAGCTGCATAGAGTCGAGGGCAGTTTAATGATTAGAGTGGATTTCTCACGGGGCTGTAGGAAGGAAATGGCTCTGCAGCTGCGTTCAGAGCAGCCCATTTCTGTTTGGCTACCGTGTCTGTCCCTGTGGTGCTCAGCCACTTTCCAGCACCCCTGGCCAACTCCTTGGGTGTCTTTGCCTCTCACTTCAAGTGCTGGGGCACAGAAGTGCCCGGCAGATCCGAAACCAGGCTGGCCCCCCAGCAGGGCCGCAGAGCAGAGGGGTGGGATGTGGGGGGGCACCGCAGAGGTGCGAGACACCAGCCTGGCAGGAGAGCAGCATTCGTCTCACATCCAAACCTGTGAGACCCAGCCAGTTGGCTCCAACCTGCCCACCCCATCCTTGATACACTCATTTCTGGGAAAGACCAAAACTTGTCAGGGTACAGGGCTGAAAAAGGGATTTTGGAGCAAGAGAAAGTGCCTGTAGCATGAGTTAGGCTGGAGAAACGTGGTGCTGAACAGCAGCAGCCTGTGAGGCGCGATCACTTGACACTGCATGCCCCCTGTAACCCAAGAAAGGCTTCGGCACTGTAACAAGACACGGGGCACTAACACAAAGAGAAGAGCCATTCCTGCCTGTCTGGCGTGGCCATGGACAGGTATCATCTGCCTGGGGAGCTGTGGGGACAGAGACTCCACCGGTGCCAGCTGCACCCATGAGCCACTGGCGGTGGCTTGGCAGAGGACGCTGGCCCTGGCTAGGCAGAATACACCGATGGCAAAGGAGTAAATTATGTTTAACGGTCATGAACCAACTCCTGGGGGTCTCCACAGACCTCCCTTGTCTCCCAACAGGGCCTCCAGCCCCCAGCCATGTGGAGAGGTGTCTGAGATGAGACTCGCCAGCCCCCAGCATGGTCCCCAGACTTAATTCCTTGCCGCCGGCTCTCCTGCAGCCTCGCTCACACCCTGGGTGAGCACAGCACGAAGCAGGGCCTTGGGGTTGCCGCTATGAGATACCCATCACAGACAAGAGTTGTGCCAACTCACGAATAGCCCCAAGAGCAGAAAGACAGAAACATTGACTCGAGACAGTCTCGCCTTCCCTAAAGCTGCATTGTAAGTGTGCATTTACTATTGATGGCTTGGCACGATGACCAACAAAAGGGTCATTATTTGCTATTAGTTATTGCCTGCCCAAACCATGAGCTTGTTAATTATTTCAGCTGGAGGCCACGTGGCAGTCACACAGTTATCAATGGGACCACTGAGGTGCTGTTCCTTCCCCACAGCCCCCTAGAAGAGGGTTTGTGCACGGATTTAACACACACTGGTATTGTCTGCAAGATACAACCCTGGCAGGAGTGGTGGCTAGAAACCAAGCTTGCTCAGCTGGGTTGAGAGGACCATGCACATGCCTAAACCCA